GGCGCAGCACTTTGTGAACCTCCATGCTTCGTTAGAGGCTCTGGCTGTTGCGTTGTCTGCGTCTTTTGCATGTAATACTCATGACGACGCCCAGGTTCACGAACACGACCTGCTTTCGTCTGCGCGATGAAAAAGAGCTTGGCTATAGGGTTTTACGTCGGCAGAGCGATGGGGTTTTACTTCGGCTAGTTGTGGCTGTACACATGTCTGCACAATACCTCGTACATCCGCCGTGCACATTACTCTCCCACACCTCTCTCCCACCCCTCTGTTGTGTAATTCTGATATAATTCCTGACAAGGCCATGTTGTAGAAGCTATTGAGACTCTGGCTGCTTTGTGCTTTAGAAACTTAAGATTCGTAAAGATTCATATGTGGGGCTATCCGGTCCTTTAATTGTAGTGTTTTAAAATACTGTGTAAATATTTAGATTTAATTTCTATATACATTAGATATGATTTGAATAATAAAATGTTGCTCTATTATATTCAATGATTTGTTTAGTTACATCTGAAACCTGAGCTTTGTAGCCACTGGGGCGTGCAATCAACTGTACAATTCAATAGCCACACTGGGCTTGGACTACTGAAAGCCACTAGAGCTTGCACACTGTATAGTTGAAAAGAACAATGCAATGGTTTCTGAACAGCCACTTGGGCTTGCAATGTAAAAAGCACACAATGGGTTTGAGTTCAATCAACCACAATGAGTTTGCAAGAACCGATATGCTCACTAAGAACTGTACAGGGTAGCCATTGTGGCTTGCAAACAGTAATGAAAATACAAAACAACTTGCAATGTACTAGCCATGGAGGCTTGTAAAATACAATTGATGATTTACATTGATCATCAAACAGCCACATGGGCTTACAAAGAAAGAATAATAGCCACTTGGACTTCCAATGCGCACAGCCACAATGTAAAGTATATTAAGATTTGCAATTCAATAGCCACTTGGACTTCCAATGTGCACAGCCACAAAGGGCGTGGAATATACTAGCCATTGAGGCTTGTAAAGTATATTTTCATTACAAGCTACAGTGCATAGCCCTGAAGGCTTGCCATTAGCCATGTAGGCTTGCCATGTGATCAACAAACCAAAACTTCCATAGCCACGTGGCCTTACAATATGTAAAGCCATAATGGGCTTGGTTGGCACTCTTTCAATGCTAACATCTTACAACACTTCAAACCAAGAGTCTAGCGTTCTTCTCCATTGGAAAAGATCAACCTTGTCCCCAGTCCTTGATGCTCCACTTCCACAATCATCGGGTTCATGGCTCCAGTGCACAGTGATTTCACTATCCACTTATCACTACAGCACACTGCAAGCACACTACACTTCAGTATCACTCTTTGGGGCCATCAATGCAACAACAACATTCACTACACAAGAAAAATCATTAAAACAACTGTGGTAAACTAGAAACAATGTAGCCACTTGGACTTGCAAGAATGGAAGAACAGCCACAATGAGCTTGCAAGAAGGAAAGCCACAATGGGCTTGAAGGAATGACAACAGTGTACGAGGGGTTGCATGAAATGTTAGCCACTTAGGGCTTGAATTGTACTAGCCATGTAATGTAGGCTTGCAAGCCCACAATGCGTTTGTACTAGCCATGAAGGCTCATGACCAAGAACAGCCACAACGAGCCTGCACGCAAAAAACAAAAAAGCATCAGTGCAAGGGCAACTTCTTTTTCCAACATGCTCACTTAGTAGGGAATATCTCAAAGCTTTGCCCTGGCTGGCTGACATAAACCTCATCTTGCTGTACATTGGTCCTTGGCATGCTTCCAAGAAGTCCCTGTCTTCGATGACAGTGTAGGCCTTGAACATTTCCCAAAGCTCAGGTCGCATCTTCACATACCTGGTCCATGCAGAGTTCAAAGGCCTTTTTAGGTGGTAAGCGTTAAAATTCATCAACGCATTCCAGTTGCTCAACAAAGGCAGCAGCTGCCTTAGAAATGTACTTTCCAAGCAGAACTGCATACACAATTTTCAAGCAGAACTGCAAACAACCTTCCAAGCAAAGAAAGTAACATACAAGTAAACTTTGAGTCAAGGATCAGTGTGCATTTCCTCCATATATTGCACATTGGGCTTGTGCACAGAGTCGTAGACCATCACCTCTCTGTCACCACCACTAGGAGTGACAAACACTGTGAGAATCTGGCCATTGCCAATCTCTATGATCATCCTCACTCCAATGTGCAGATGCTTGAAGACCCCATACTCTTTGGTAGCCATTGCAGGTACCTAGCTCAGTTCCTTTGGGCCAAGCTCAACTAGTGAACCATTTTACTCAATGTAGTTTGTAGTGGACAATTTTGAAGGCCACTAAGGCTTGCAGTTCAGTAAAGCCTCAAGGCTTGCAATACCATAGCCACAAAAGCTTTCAGAGAGCAATAAACACAAAGGGTCTATAGGCCAGAGCCATCGAGGCTGTATGTATACGGTATAGCCACAAAGGCTTGCAAAGGTTTGGTTTAGAAACAATATAGCCACAAAGACTTGCAAAGCAAAGCCACAAGGGCTTGCAAAACAATAGCCACAGAGGCTTGCAAAACAATAGCCACAAAGGCTTGCAAAGCAATAGCCACAAAGGCTTGCAAAGCAATAGCCGCAGGGGCCTGCAAAACAAGAAAAGGCTAGCAAACACTACAGCACAGTACAGCCAACACCCTTTTCTCAACTTCCAGGTCAACAGCTTATCACGTGGAAGGTGTCATGTGGAAAGATATTTTCAATGAAAGCAGTGTCATAGTTGTGCAGTGTCCAGCAATCCTGCAGTGCCATCATGCGCAAGCCTTTGCTTTCTTGTATTGCCTTGTAGGTGCATTCAAACACTTCTCAGCATCCACTGCCAAGTAATCAAACACTGCAGCCAACATGTTGGTGTCATGCTTCACCGATAGGTCTGCGCGTGCACGCCTGGTGCCCTGCATGAGAAATTCCACTACCCTGCACAACAACTTTCACAGTGTAGACTCCACCAGGCACACACTTTCTCTTCTTTGCAGCAGGCTCAGGAGCAGGCTCAGTATTCTGCGTTTCTTCATCTTCTCCTGCTCCTTCATTTTCACCAGCAAACAAATCATCTTGTTCTTGGATTTGAGCAGACTGGTTTCTCATTTCCACAAGATTTGCCAATTGCTTGCTGCTTGCCAGTGATGATTTTTTGCCAGCTTTGCCATTGGTCAACAACTGGACCTGGCTTTGAATAGTGGCCCTCGTTCACAAGTAAACAACATCATTGTGCTTTTCAATCATAGAAGCGGGCCATGAATACCAATTACCATCCCTCCAGCACACATCCATGCAGTCCCTAGTTTCAACCATGGCTGCACTTCACTCTGCAAGCTGCGGTTTGAACCATAGCCTTTCAGATGTCTCCACAATGTAGTTTGTAGTGGACAAGGTTTCAAAGACAACACAGCCACAGAGCCACAAAGGCTTGCATTTCAGTAAAGCCACAAGGCTTGCAATGCCATAGCCACAAAAGCTTTCAGAGAGCAATAACCACAAATGGTTTATAGACCAGAGCCAGTGAGGCTAAGAAGCCTTAGAAACAATATAGCCACAAAGGCTTGCAAAGCAATAGCCACAAGGGCTAGCAAAACAAGAAATGCTTGCAAACAATACAGCAGAGCGCAGTACAGCCAACACCCTATCCCAACTTGCAGGCAAACAGTTTATCCATGGACTCAGTGCTCACAAAGTCCACTTCTACTTTGCCTTCTGTCTCTTAGCAGGTGGCTCTTTGCCTCCATCTTGATGAGGAGCACTCAGGCTCAAGAGAGTTACATTGCTCAATGGGCCAGCGTTCACCATAAAAGGAGTCTTGCAGCCAACCACACTCACCTCAGACAAAGTGAGCAATCCATCGTCTGCAGACTTCACTGACCAGAAAGGGTAAAGCACACCTCCACCACCACCTTTGAAGTCAGTGAGAGGCTTGAAAGGCACAATGAGCCAAAGCTTGTCATAGGCTTGGATGTAGTACTTCTCTGGCTTTTCATCCTTCACCATTGACACAGTGCCAGCTGGGTAGAGCTTCAATGCCTTTTTCTTGATAGCTTTTTGTGTATACACTGCACATGGATTCTTGGTGAACAAAATGTCATCTGTCAACACAGGATTGTCCAAACAGAGCTGCAGCAATGTCTTCTGGACATGTGCCCTTTGCAGCTCCAAAGTCGCAATCCCAGATTGGTCAACAAAGTGCACAAAGGCAGCTGTAGGCTCGCATTTCTCTGCCAATGAAGCTTTGCTCTTCTTCCATTCCTTTAAATTGTCAAATTCCACTTCAATGTTCTCCACAGGACCAAAGATGGGCTGATGACTGAACTTAAAGGTGGTGTCAGTTGTGCCCACCAATGTCAACACTTTGCTCCCATGTTGTTTGGTGCACGCACACCTTACAGCAAACAAACACGAACACACAATGTTTAACACCCACTTTTGCAATCAAAGCTTAATTTGTACAAGCAGCTGCGCATTTTTCTGCGTATGAGGGTGTTTCAGGACAAATAATTTCAGCAGGCTTGCTTTTCAATACATCCTTGACATCCAAGTCAATCTCAGTGACCTTGCTCTTCTCCTTGGGAGGGCACTTGGCATCCTTCTTCAGTGCCAATTCTTTTGTGAACGCTTCACAAATTGCCTTTGTGCTCTCCCAGCCCTGGGGCTCTCTTCCCCATTTTTCTTTCTTCAATACACGAAGGACCAACCTCACACATAATTCACCAAAGGCTTTCACTTGGATGCCCTCTTCTGATTTGGAACTTTGCAGTAGCTCCCATGAGTCTGACAAGATCTGCCTGCAAATGCAGTGGAAGCAGGACAAACCTATATAACAAACTTTTTTTGTTGCAAACAGTGAAGCAGAAAAAACTTGCAAACAAGCTGCTCACATTGTACCACTTCCTTCCTCAATGTTTTTGATTTCAACCTCGCACAATCTGATCTGGTCAAGAGTACCCATCTTGTGCTTTGTTGCTGGACATCATTGTGCACCACCTCAAATGCGAAGCAGCCACTATTTCATTGCTATCTTTCTTTTACATGAGCAGAAGCCTCTATAGAAGAGTTTGGAAAACATTGTAGACATATGCTTAACCAAGCCAAGCAACATTGCAGCCCTCAGAAAGGTGAACATGGAGGTGGAGTCCTTCAGCTCGAGGAAAGCAATACCCTTCATCATATCTTCTCCAAGCAGCAATGTTCCATAGGTCTTGCCTCGAGCAATGAAAGCCATGCAGCCACGCAGGCTTGCTAAGTGCCAAAGCTACCCTTGCAGCGCAGGCTTGCAAAAGAAGAGCTAGCCATGGAGGCTTGCAACACTAGCACTGAAGGCTTGCAACACCAGCCACTGAAGGCTTCAACACCCAAAACATCCAACAGGTTCATGGCAAGCTGCTGAATTGCGCCAGGAAGTCGACGATGTTCTGGTTTTCACCTGCATACTTGGAGACATAGTAGGCAATTGCTTCCAATGACCTTTTGCACACTGGGTCACATTCTTCAACCCTTGCCAAAGCATCTGGCAATGCAAGGCCATGTTTCAGGAACTGGCACATTTGGCTGGCAGCTTCAATCTCTGTCATTTGTTGGTAGGAGTTGTTCACGACATTCAATGCAGATTGAATATAGCTGGGCAGCTGGATTTCCACTGCACTGCGCATCACAAAAAATGGCCAACCACTAGTGCAAAGAGCTTGCAAGCCAGGGTCTTGCTTCATATCAATTGCGGTGGCCTCTTGCAAACCTGGCTTCACTCCTTGCTCCACTGCCTTGCAAAATGCAGCAGTGTGGGATGTGGCAACAGTAAAGAATCTCTCTTGGAAATTCACACTAGCCAGTGTGTTGTTTGGGGCCTTGACAAGCTTCACATTGGCAGCGTTCTCTCATGGTCTTGTCAGTGGCCAGCTCAAAGGCCACAGCACCTTCATTGAGGAGTTGAGGTGCCACTCCAACCTTCAGCATTCCCCAGCCCTTTTCCCACACATCGGTTGCGTTCAGCACGCTTCCTCCCCTATTGCTAGGGTGGGTCAGTGCTTCCTTTGGCAAACAGTCTGGTGGTATCCCTAGCCATTGACCTTCAAGGTGTGAAAGATCTTGTCTACTTTCTGCAGTATGGGAAAACTGTCATCATGATGGAGTTCACTTCATCAACCACAGGTGCGATGCCTGGAAAGCCAACAGCAATGCAACAGTTACTGTAGAAATTGGCATGGCTTGCTCAATGACCATGTTTTGCCTTGTATGCTTGAACATGGGCTGTGTGCACAGTTGACCAGGCATTGTTGTCCAAACATGTCCACATACATGCAGAGAGCAGCCACCATGGGCTTACAATGAGCAGCCACTATGGGCTTGCAATAAGCAGCCACCATGGGCTTGCAATGGCACACGTATCAGCCATAAAGGCATACTTGTCACAGAAAGCCAGAAAGGCTTGCAACAAAGAAAAAATGGCTAACCATGTAGGCTGGCAATGTTAGCCATGCAGGCTTGCAAACACATGAAGCCATAAAGGCCATGAAGGCTCTCAACATTTCAGACAAAGAGGTTTGCATTTTAAATTGTGAATTGGAAAAAAGCAGCCATAAAAGTTTCCAGATTAGTATTTTTGTTTCATTTGTGAATATATATATATATATACAAATATCATCAATGAATAATGATCCAATTGT